TGGTGTGCACCTTCCTGGGCAGACCACTGACGCTGAACAGACCTGCCCTGCCACGCCGCACCCCACCCCGAGAGACACGCATCCACAGTGACAGTCTCCCGGCGGGAAGGGATGGCGCCCATGGGCACACCCATCAGAAGATAGGCCCCATCGCTCCAGCGGGACAGAGAGTGGAGGCACCGCTGAGACACCCTGACTCTCTTGTGACTGTGCCACTTGGCGTCCAAGCGAAGGCTGTTCAGCCACATCTGCATGGGGCGCAGTGACAGCAGGCCTAAGGGCCCAGCGGCTGAGGCATCCGTCAGTCTGCCTAAGAGCCCAAGGAACTGGATGTAAGGCACCCTCTTGCCCAGTCTGAAGATGGGAAGATGGTGGGAAATGTCGTCCACACGACGAGGTGTCAGGTAGGCAGTGCATGACATTAAGGATGTTGGGATATGGGCCTGTGGGCCATCTAAGCTAATTTACAGATGGCCCTGAGCCCAATAGAGATTGCCCTGAAAAATGCGCGTGGACGAAATTACGCACGAAGGGTTTGGGGGGCCTCCCCCTAGAACATTTAGATTTTTGCAGGTCTTAGATGCTGTCTGGTTCTCTAGACTGAATTATAAGATGAACCACCACAATATTATATAGTACAATTTCAATTGTATTCTTCATTTCACTTGTTTGTTTGTTCTTGTTTGTGTTTGCTCGCTTGCATGCCCTGCATAGCTATAAGAAATACTTAAGATGTTGGTGAAGACACTTTCCATCTGACGAAGGCAGATGCCTTCCAGATGGACAAAAGTAGAAAACATTACATTCAGTTATAACCGCCAAAACAAACATTATTTACACTATTATGGCCCCTGTTAAAAATGTTTGTAATGTTATCTACTGTAAATTGGTCGAACGAATGCCTCCTCATCCGGAAGCTGACCGAGCAGCAGTCGAGAGGAGCCGAGCGCATCCGCGAAGCCCCTGGTGCCCTGGAGGCACGAGGCCGCCTGGAAGGCAGGCGACCTGGGAGGCGGTTGAGTGGGCCGCTGGGACCTCTGCAGACCACCCCTGTAAACCGGTGGCTGAGTGCGGCTGCTAGAGTGGCCCCTGGGCCTGCTGGGAGTGGGCACAGGTCTGCGATGACCCGAGAGCTGCTGCCTGGGACTGCCTAGCTTGGGCAGCACGCTCCAGTGCCTCCAGGGCAGCTGACCCAAACAGCTCCCCTGGCTCGACTGGCACGCTATGGACTCTCCTACATGTCTCCGTTAGTGGTGACTGGGCAAGCCGAACCTGGCGACGAGTCTGTACCAGAAAGGACATAACTCGTCCCAATTCCCTAGTCATTAGGGCAAAGGCCTGCAGTGATGCATCACTGAGGCCCAGCAAAGAAGGCTCGGCCGGAGCCTGCTGCAGAGAGGTGGAGACAGTCAGCATTAGAATGGGAGAGGGAGTTCCCGATACTACCCATGCGTGCCGCTGCGTCGTAGGCCCTACAGAGCAGCCCGTCTGTGACCCTGCACTGAGGCCGAGTGCATCTGACCTCAGGCCTTAGAGCCTCGTCAGGAGCCAGAATCAGGGAGGCGATGGCAGGCTCAATGGGTGGCATGCTACCCAGCCCCACCCTCGCCGGGTCCTGCATGGCAGCCAAGGCCCGGACATCAGCGCCAGTGTGGCCGAGGGCCCTGGTGTCCCTCCAGCATGCATGGAGCCCCCTCAGGTACTCCTCTGAAGGAGGAACGGTGAGGGGGACAGGGGCAGGGCTACGCCTGAAGAAGGCGCTAACCTGAGCCAAGTGGGCCTGCGGAACCGGAATCTGCAGGTGCGCCAGGGCCGTATGAATAATGGCCGCCATGGAGTCGTCCTCCACGCCCTGCAGAGACCCCTGAGCAGAAGAGAGGGAAGCCTCCTCGAGCGGGACCTCGTCCTCCATCTCTTCATTGAAGAGGTTAGCCGAAGCCGCTAGCGACAAGGCATCCTCATACAGAGGTGCGGCAACCGAAGGAGGGGCAGGCGGCACGCTAGCAGCCCTGGCTGAAGAGCCAAGAGGAGCGACTTCATCGTGTCCATGTCGGCAGCTAGCTGATCCACTTTAGAGGACAGCCTGTTTCTAGTCCTCCTATTGGGGGGTGCACCCATAGCCATCACTCCCTCAAGTCGCCGGGAACGGCCGAACTGATCTGGAGGAGGATGGGACAAGGAGAGGTGTCGTTACTGCTACTCGCCAAACAGAAAGAGGGATGTAACGCTACCGGCAGAGGGAGCGGGAGCGAGAGCACTGCCTTCACCTGGCTGGGTAAAATAAAGAAGCTTTTACACAAAGCTAAGACCAGAAACTGACTTCTAAAGAAAAAACAGCACAGGAAACTCCGGTGCTTATCCCGGCGTCAGCCGAGTGGCTGCAGCCGCTACTGCTAACTAGCCAAACAAGAAACACAGCTAAAGCTGGAAACTCAAAATGCTAATAATAGCTTGGCACAACGCCGCGGTCAGAACGAGTACAAAAGCACAGCAAGGGCAACTCCTGGGAGAGGGAGCGGAAACGCCACCGTCACCAACCAAGCCGACACCAACCTGTCCGAACAAAGTCTCTGCGCAGCCACAGCTCCTGGAGGACGGGTAAGCCCGCGGCCCCGACTGGATGAGTCGCGAAGCTGCACGCAGCCAGCTGCTTGCAGAGAATCCTTGACAACCGAACGAACGCTGTAGGCTACAAAAATGTAGCCACGGTACTCTCGCGCAGCGAGAAGATGAAAGGAACAGATCCTCTGAGGACACCGGCTGATATAGCCGGTGTCACGTGGGGCACAGGTGACTTTATTGTTATTGGTACTCGAGCTGCGCATGCGCGCGATGGACCTATCCAGTGCTAAAGCACCGCCTCTGGCGGTCAGTAGGGACGAAATAGAACTACAATTCTACCCGTGATATACGCTCATTATATCACGGCTAAGAACCAATCAGATTGCTTGATTTGACTTGTCTGTTTTATAAATAGAGGATATACATATTTATACTTATTTGTATATTTGTATTATTGTATTCGGGATTGTTGGAAACTTTATTTCGATGTACAAACACACAGAACAATTGACATTAAAGTTGACTTTGATTCAAAAGCTTAATAACTGTTGAGTAAAGGTTGATATTAATGACAATGCTATGCAAAGTAATGGCAGATACTCTCTCTCGCATATACATAATACGGCAACCTGTATACTGTACATAAAATAACAATATTTACATTACACTGTTTTATACCATTTGGCCTTGAGAGGATAGCTGAAAGTAAACGAAAACTCTCAAAGATAGTGTGCCTTAAATCTACAAAAATGATGGATATAGTGGAGGAGGTTATATATGATCAATGTGCTGTATTTAATAATCCAGTGTTGGGTTACTTCTCTCTCTGTATTACCTCAGATTGTAAAGAAGTCTATGAGGACATGTTCCTTCTCTCTCTTGATGTATTCCTCAAACAGCCCTCTGTATACGTGAATCTACCTTGTAATGGAGTGAGTTGAACATAATGCATCATGTGTATTTAATAGCGTGTTTAATCCACTGTTGGGTAACCGCACACTGTTCTGCATTATGAGTCTCCTCGGCACCAGCAGCAGCCACATTATTAATTATTCACCCATGATGTGGCAGATGACATCAAATGGCCGAGAAATGCGTCAATCCTGCACACGTGTATGAAAAAGATCTGTTTTCTGCACATGAGAACATGTGATGCTGCTGCTGGAGAAACATCTGGATCTGCAGCAGCAGCACATCAGGCCTCCACAACAACGCGCACAATGTGCGTTCAAATCAACGCAAAGCACTGCGACTCTTTGCTCTACTCTCAACGGGGAATATTGTACATTTTGGGGGGGATTTTTCCAACACAAGACGTATATTGACAAGCCCCCTCCCCAGAAAGAAATACAATACAAATCCCAGCACTCACATATAAAAACAATCAAAATCCTACCCAAAAAAATCAAACAATTGAATATGTATATTTTCTAACTGGATGCGAAGCTGCTCACATCCTTCAGGGTAAAGCGCCGACTTATTTGGCATATTCTGCGTGTAATGTGTCTCTCACTCTCTCAACGGGGAATATTGTACATTTTTGGGAGATTTTTCCAACACAAGACGTATATTGACAAGCCCCCTCCCCAGAAAAAGGAAATCACAGCACTATAAACGTTGGTTTATTTGGTTCTCAACCACAAAATCCTACCAAACAATTCAAATCAGAGTAGAATTATGATTTGTTAACTGGTATACGAAGCTGTGTCTGCTCTCATCCTTCACACCATGCGCACAGGGTAAAGCACCGGCTTATTTGACAAATCCTGCGTATAATGCATGTCAGACCCCCCCCCCCCCGAGCAGCACGAGCAGTATTAATGTTGTGCTTGATGTGCAGAAGAGGCTGCACTGAATGACCTTGAGACATTTTTTGTGCAGGATTGTGTTTCTTTGCACTGACAAACCGTGTGGCCATCGAGTAACTGCGGCGCCCCCCCCCCCCCCCCAGATAAACACCTCGCGATGCAAACAGGCCACAGGTTTTAATAACAGATGCTGCTTTATTCCAGCTTTGAGCGATGACATCCGAGTTCATGCTATTAAAGCTAAGCTGCTGCATTCCGATGGAAACGACGCAGTGAGCGCGTTTTTTTCAGATGATCTCCATCCTAATGACATCTTCCTCTGCGCATCGATACCAGGAAAGCAACATTTCATAACCGAGCAGATCTATTTATATATATATATAAAAAACCAGGACAGCTCCCTCGGTGCTGCTGCAGAAACACGTTGTAAAATAAAAAAATAAAACGCCAATTAAAATGCGCAAATGTTCATCTGCTCAAAAGCGCCGGTGTTTCCTCTTAAAGGATGCACAGCTCGACGGCATTCATGCAAACGCGAGATACCCAGATATGTAAGCCGACATGAACACCAGCTGCTTGTATAATGTGAAAACACGACATGTCGGCCTCTCTGCAGGCGGATCTTCTCACCTGATTTCTGCCCGTTCGGTGATTCTCAATGGATGAACGTGTGCTCCAGAAAAACCGAAAAAAGCCCCTTCCGATGGAGACGTGAGCCCAAAAGGGGATTCTCTTATTCTCAACACTGCTGCTTATAAAAAACACAGTCTGCTAATGAAGTGTGTGGATCTTTTCCCGACGTTATTGTTCCAGATGCGGCGCAGCAGGGACCGATCCCACGCGCCAGTCTGATGCGTCTACAGGAGCCGTGTGCAACTTTCTGCTTCTGGAGCTCATTACATCATCAGGGAGGACAACATTTGGGATTTATAACACCCTGATGGAGCTATTAAACAATCAGGAATTATATTAGGTGATGTGTTGTCATTTAAAGGTGTGATTTTTAAAGAAGAATTAAAAAAAAACCATAGACAGAAAAAGCCCCAGTGGTGGAAAGTAGATTTACTCCTTGAGTATTCCCATTGTTCTCCACTAAAACATAGAAGCACATTGCATGTATTTTAATGGCATTTTGTTCATTAAAGAAGATCCTTCAGATTCAGAAATCCCACAGGGACAGTGCAGATAAAAGGCTATTTAAAGAAAAGGGAAGCAAACGTTCAAATAAATAATGGAAAGAAGCAGCAGCATCAGAGTAAGTACACAAAATAGACCCCCACCCAAACAATTATAATAACAAATAAGTGAACTTGCTGGAGCCCAGACCCTCGTGTCATCATCAGGGAGGACAACATTTGGGATTTATAACACCCTGGCGGAGTTATAAAACAATCAGGAATTATATTAAGTGATGTGTTGTCAGGGCCATCCCTCCCTCACCTTGCGGAGGGGGCCGAGCCTGAGCCGAAAATGCGGCGCACCTATATGCGCTTATGCGGCGCAATTAGTGTGGCGCGGCACGGCTGCTCCACTAGCCCCCCCCCCCCCCCCCCCACCGCGTTGACGCTCGCGAAACAGAGGGCCTCATCATATAACTTGAGACGGCCCTGTGTGTTGTCATTTAAAGGTGTGGTTGTTAAAGAAAAATGCAAGGCTGGACAAAACAACCCAAGTGGTGTGAAGTAGATTTACTCAAGAACAATTTTACCTGAGGGATATGTATAGTTTTTTATAAAAAGAAAACACAAAATACAATCTACAATACTTGTGCTTGAGTATTTCCATTTGATGAAACTTTACGTCTCAGATGGAAATATTTTACTTTTCTTGAGAAACAGAATGTATTCCACCTGACCTCCCAAAAGAATAAAAAAAGAAAATCACAGTTACAGTTAAGAACATATTTATTAAATGAAATAAGTATATAAATATCCGAAAATAAAGAGATTTCAAATTGTAGTTTTGATTCAAAAACATTGGAGCAAATCCAAACTACGTGAAAATGAAGTGACTCAAAAAGTTCAGAAAATAAACTTGCATTTAACTATTTTCTGACTAAATGTAGGAAATTCTTACATAATATTGATCTTTTTACAGCTGTACTTCTTGTTGCTTCTAAATCAATTCAATTATTTAATTAAACACGTGATTCATTGTAATGCTGCAATACCTTAAAAAGCTGCATTCTCTCTAATATCCAGCAGGGGGCGAAATGTTCCTACTTCTCTCGCTCTTGATTCAGAAACCTCCAAAGAAAAGTGACACTGTAAAAACCCTCTGCGATGACTTGATTTCTTAATTTAATGTTCACATACAGTACAATATACACATGGGTTCCTTTACAGACACAAAGCAAACATTACATACATTACAGATAAGTTTAGCACCAGCAGACTAACACCCTTAAGGCTCGGCTGCACCAACCGGAAGCATTTCATATATTAGAGTTCAGCAACACTACGGTTGAATTTCAGCAAATCCAGATTTAAAGATAAGAATGTAATTAAATGACATTCTTATTTTTTTACTTTTGGGGCAGCTACAAAATTAATTAAAGTAAAAAATAACAGATTTAAATGTAATCTTATTGGGACAGAATAACAATAAATCCAGATTAATAATTTACATTTAAAAACACCTGATTTACAGTTTGTTTACAGGTCACCTATTATTTAAAATCCTCTTCATCATGTCTCTTCTACATCAACATGTGTCCCCTCTTCTTCATGTCTCTTCTACATCAACATGTGTCCCCTCTTCTTCATGTCTCTTCTACATCAACATGTGTCCCCTCTTCTCCATGTCTCTTCTACATCAACATGTGTCCCCTCTCCTTCATGTCTCTTCTACATCAACATGTGTCCTCTCTTCTTCATGTCTCTTCCACATCAACATGTGTCCCCTCTTCTCCATGTCTCTTCTACATCAACATGTGTCCCCTCTTCTTCATGTCTCTTCTACATCAACATGTGTCCCCTCTTCTTCATGTCTCTTCTACATCAACATGTGTCCCCTCTTCTTCATGTCTCTTCTACATCAACATGTGTCCCCTCTCCTTCATGTCTCTTCTACGTCAACATGTGTCCCCTCTTCTTCATGTCTTTTCTACATCAACACGTGTCCCCTCTTCCTCATGTCTCTTCTACATCAACATGTGTCCCCTCTTCTTCATGTCTCTTCTACATCAACACGTGTCCCCTCTTCTTCATGTCTCTTCTACATCAACACGTGTCCCCTCTTCCTCATGTCTCTTCTACATCAACACGTGTCCCCTCTTCTTCATGTCTCTTCTACATCAACACGTGTCCCCTCTTCTTCATGTCTCTTCTACATCAACATGTGTCCCCTCTTCCTCATGTCTCTTCTACATCAACACGTGTCCCCTCTTCTTCATGTCTCTTCTACATCAACATGTGTCCCCTCTTCTTCATGTCTCTTCTACATCAACATGTGTCCCCTCTTCTTCATGTCTCTTCTACATCAACATGTGTCCCTTCTTCTTCTTCGTGTCTCTTCTACATCAACATGTGTCCCCTCTTCTTCATGTCTCTTCTACATCAACATGTGTCCCCTCTTCTTCATGTCTCTTCTACATCAACATGTGTCCCCTCTTCCTCATGTCTCTTCTACATCAACATGTGTCCCCTCTTCTTCATGCCTCTTCTACATCAACATGTGTCCCCTCTGCTTCATGTCTATTCTACATCAACATGTGTCCCCTATTCTTCATGTGTCTTCTACATCAACATGTGTCCCCTCTTCCTCATGTCTCTTCTACATCAACATGTGTCCCCTCTTCTCCATGTCTCTTCTACATCAACATGTGTCCCCTCTTCTCCATGTCTATTCTACATCAACATGTGTCCCCTATTCTTCATGTGTCTTCTACATCAACATGTGTCCCCTCTTCCTCATGTCTCTTCTACATCAACATGTGTCCCCTCTTCTCCATGTCTATTCTACATCAACATGTGTCCCCTATTCTTCATGTGTCTTCTACATCAACATGTGTCCCCTCTTCCTCATGTCTCTTCTACATCAACATGTGTCCCCTCTTCTTCATGTCTCTTCTACATCAACATGTGTCCCCTCTCCTTCATGTCTCTTCTACGTCAACATGTGTCCCCTCTTCTTCATGTCTTTTCTACATCAACACGTGTCCCCTCTTCCTCATGTCTCTTCTACATCAACAAGTGTCCCCTCTTCTTCATGTCTCTTCTACATCAACACGTGTCCCCTCTTCTTCATGTCTCTTCTACATCAACACGTGTCCCCTCTTCCTCATGTCTCTTCTACATCAACACGTGTCCCCTCTTCTTCATGTCTCTTCTACATCAACACGTGTCCCCTCTTCTTCATGTCTCTTCTACATCAACATGTGTCCCCTCTTCCTCATGTCTCTTCTACATCAACACGTGTCCCCTCTTCTTCATGTCTCTTCTACATCAACATGTGTCCCCTCTTCTTCATGTCTCTTCTACATCAACATGTGTCCCCTCTTCTTCATGTCTCTTCTACATCAACATGTGTCCCTTCTTCTTCTTCGTGTCTCTTCTACATCAACATGTGTCCCCTCTTCTTCATGTCTCTTCTACATCAACATGTGTCCCCTCTTCTTCATGTCTCTTCTACATCAACATGTGTCCCCTCTTCCTCATGTCTCTTCTACATCAACATGTGTCCCCTCTTCTTCATGCCTCTTCTACATCAACATGTGTCCCCTCTGCTTCATGTCTATTCTACATCAACATGTGTCCCCTATTCTTCATGTGTCTTCTACATCAACATGTGTCCCCTCTTCCTCATGTCTCTTCTACATCAACATGTGTCCCCTCTTCTCCATGTCTCTTCTACATCAACATGTGTCCCCTCTTCTCCATGTCTATTCTACATCAACATGTGTCCCCTATTCTTCATGTGTCTTCTACATCAACATGTGTCCCCTCTTCCTCATGTCTCTTCTACATCAACATGTGTCCCCTCTTCTCCATGTCTATTCTACATCAACATGTGTCCCCTATTCTTCATGTGTCTTCTACATCAACATGTGTCCCCTCTTCCTCATGTCTCTTCTACATCAACATGTGTCCCCTCTTCTCCATGTCTCTTCTACATCAACATGTGTCCCCTCTTCTTCATGTCTCTTCTACATCAACATGTGTCCCCTCTTCTTCGTGTCTCTTCTACATCAACATGTGTCCCTTCTTCTTCACGTCTCTTCTACATCAACATGTGTCCCCTCTTCTTCATGTCTCTTCTACATCAACATGTGTCCCCTCTTCTTCATGTCTCTTCTACATCAACATGTGTCCCCTCTTCTCCATGTCTCTTCTACATCAACATGTGTCCCCTCTTCTTCATGTCTCTTCTTCATCAACATGTGTCCCTTCTTCTTCATGTCTCTTCTACATCAACATGTGTCCCCTCTTCTTCATGTCTCTTCTACATCAACATGTGTCCCCTCTTCTTCATGTCTCTTCTACATCAACATGTGTCCCCTCTTCTTCATGTCTCTTCTACATCAACATGTGTCCCCTCTTCTTCATGTCTCTTCTACATCAACATGTGTCCCCTCTTCTTCATGACTCTTCTACATCAACATGTGTCCCCTCTTCTTCATGTCTCTTCTACATCAACATGTGTCGTCTCTTCTTCATGTCTCTTCTACATCAACATGTGTCCCCTCTTCTTCATGTCTCTTCTACATCAACATGTGTCCCCTCTTCTTCGTGTCTCTTCTACATCAACATGTGTCCCCTCTTCTTCATGTCTCTTCTATATCAACATGTGTCCCCTCTTCTTCATGTCTCTTCTACATCAACATGTGTCCCCTCTTCTTCATCTCTCTTCTACATCAACATGTGTCCCCTCTTCTTCATGTCTCTTCTACATCAACATGTGTCCCCTCTTCTTCATGTCTCTTCTACATCAACATGTGTCCCCTCTTCTTCATCTCTCTTCTTCATCAACATGTGTCCCCTCTTCTTCATGTCTCTTCTACATCAACATGTGTCCCCTCTTCTTCATGTCTCTTCTTCATCAACATGTGTCCCCTCTTCTTCATGTCTCTTCTACATCAACATGTGTCCCCTCTTCTTCATGTCTCTTCTACATCAACATGTGTCCCCTCTTCTTCATGTCTCTTCTACATCAACATGTGTCCCCTCTTCTTCATGTCTCTTCTACATCAACATGTGTCCCCTCTTCTTCATGTCTCTTCTACATCAACATGTGTCCCCTCTTCTCCATGTCTCTTCTACATCAACATGTGTCCCCTCTTCTTCATGTCTCCTCTACATCAACATGTGTCCCCTCTTCTTCATGTCTCTTCTACATCAACATGTGTCCCCTCTTCTTCATGTCTCTTCTACATCAACATGTGTCCCCTCTGTGGAAAGAGACTCTGAAAGTTTCAGGAACAAAGATTCTCTCTCTTTTTGATCCATTTCTATAAAAACCTGTCTGAAAATGAGCTGATCAGATTTTGGTCACTTGATGATGTCATAACGATGTGTTGTCTTGTGTAACCATTAGCCAATCAGCAACCAAGGCAACCCCCCCCCCCCCTTATCACCTGAATCTCCTCCTAGAGCACCATTGAGTTCTTTGTAACCAAATGTCTCTCAGAGGGGCGTGGGGAGGGGCTCCTGGTTTTCATCTAAAGTAACAGACAGAGAATCAGCACTTTGGAAACAGGGCTGAAACAGAGGGGATTATGGGTAATGCTGCAATGATCCGTTTGGTGTTTCAGCCAATCAGAGACAGGCTCTGGATATATCTGAGACCTGTGATGTATTGATGAAGAGGAGGATGATAGGAGACCTTAAGTGTTTTCTCAATGAATCCTTGTCGGTGCAACCCAGCCTGATATTCGTAGTGATTTTCTGAATAAAAGCCCTCAGCTCGTTCTCACTAGGCTCACATGAGACATCTTTACAGCAGCATTCAATTACAAAGTTAATTAATTAAAAAAGGATGCATACTGTACACCTAAAGTGGCGTACAAAAGCAATACTATATATTATTATGAATATATTATATTATACTCATTTACATGGCAGATTCTCAGTGTGATATTAACGGCGTTTTGACACTGATGGAAAATAATACAAAATAAGTTTACATAAAGAGCCAATGGAGATAATTGGCTTATTAAAACATAAATATTTCTATGTGCTCTCATTTTTTAAATATATATACTAATAAGAGAGCTACTGTCTTTTGGCTAGAGTGATTTTTAAATAAATTATAATACAAAATAATGACAAATCAAATGGGAACCTTACCCTCTTTGTTGGACAATAATGTCAAGAAATAGCGTCAAAATGATTTTCTAAATGCACCGTTTCTCAGTAATGAGTTGTGGAAAGTGTTCACTGTTATCGGTCGGATGATGAATATATATATATATTTATAATGAATCTGAATGTGCCTTCTTTAAAGCCCCTGTCCCGAAATTGATACCAGATGGATAAACGATAAAGGAAACGTTCAAATTCGGCTCTGATCGGAACAACATCGGGCCATTCGTGAGGCATCTAAGCCGTCGTATGACCGCCGGTGGAGTTTCTCAGGCTCCGGCAGCAACTTCGTGAGCGGTGGCAAAATCTTTGGCATGCCAACAAATTGCAGAAAGACCTTGCGAAGGTTCATTTTCGTGTTGAATTCGTTTGTCCATTTTGCCCTCCGTGAGGCCATCGTGAGGGCATCCTGTCAAATCGTGTCATCTTCGTCGTTACTTCGTGTGATCATCGATGCCATCGGGCATTTTTCGCGTCACGAAGACAATACGAAGGAAACAAGAAGCTGCCCGATTGTCTTAGGAAGGCAACACGACTACGTGAAGCCCTCGCGATGCCGTCGTGTAGCCATCGTATCATAGTACGATTTGAGTTCTGTGAAACTGAAAAGGATATCACTTTGTTTTTGTTACTTTCGTTGCAGTTGTATGTCTCAAATGTAATTTAGGTTAACTTCCTGTTTTATTTAGATGCTTTTATTTTGAAGGCGAGTTTACGCTGTTGACAGGAAGTTGTAGTTGCTATGGAAACAACATGAGGTTCGGGTGCCATCGTGTGGCCTTCTGTAGGCATCGTACTTGCTTCGGCTGTTGACCGAGTTCGGGGCCATCTTCGTGCGAAATTCACAATTCCATATTCGTGTCCATCTGGTGTCGATGTCGGGACAGCGTGACGCCAGCCTGACCGATTACATTAACGTGTGCAGGATTTATTTTTCCACCATCTGATGTTTTCTTAATTCAAAAATCTGTCCTAAAGTGAAATGTACAACTCTGGAAGTCTTCGTTGATCCTCTTCTCTTCTCAGATGTGGATTTACAGACGAGGATAAATGTGTTTTCAGAACTTGTTGTTCTTTAGTTTGTCGATGTGGAAACAGAGCTTCAGCGCCGGGCCGAGCTTCAGACCCAGATACTTCATGATCATATCGCTCTTCAGGAGCAACAAGGCGTTTCCATCGATCTCCTGGAGGAAGAGGAGGAGGAGGAAGAACAAGAGGAGGAAGACGAAGGAGAAGAAGTTAGATCAACAGGAAATAGGTGAGCAGACAAGATGTGTCAGATCCAATCACTGATATTCTGGATACATTTATATTTGATAATGTAAAGTTAGACTGGAAGTAAGAGTGGAAAAGTACAGATTATACTATAGTAGGCTATAAGGCAGTGATTCTCAAACTTTTTTCAATCATGTTCCCCCTTTGAAAAAGAAATGCAGCCACGTACCCCCCAGCACAAAAACTATTAGTTAGGGAAGAAATGCCTATATAAAGAGGTACAGCACAGCGCTGCACCATCGGTGTCTGAGTTATTAAAACAACAACAGTAACTGAGAAACACTTAAATGCTACATTTCAAATGTTTACAATCCATCACTAAATTCATGGCAAACCAATTTTAACATCATGCAATAACACAGAGACGACATTAGTTGCATTGAACTGATCTGTTTAATAAGTTGTACTTAATATAGTGAAACATGGCTTGAGCTTCACTGAGGATCTTTGTTATTCTCAGTGACAGGAAGGCCACTGCAGTTATTACACTTCGCGTTTTGAAATATGTGTAACTCTGTTAATATAAAACCCACTCTGCTCAAACTTCCTTACATTTCCTAAAATTGGTATTTTTTTTCTTCATTAACATAAAAATAAATCTCACGTACCCCCTGCAGTACTCCAACGTACCCCTAGGGGTCCGCGTACCCCCATGTGAGAACCACTGCTATAAGGAACCATTTAATTCAACAACGATCACTGTTGATTAATATAAACCATCTCAGAGACATTATGAGCAGGTTTATTATCTCTGCCTGATAACTACTTTCAACAAGCGATGTCCTCTTTCGTACATTTAAAATGTTCTAACCTCTTTCCTAATGTATTACCACATGTTGTATCGAAGTCTTTGAGGAACTGGCCCGACTACTGTCTTGATTTACTACCTCAGATTTTATGGAAGTCTATGAAAAAATGCACATTTGCCTAAAAGACGCACCACTTCATTTCCAAACATCATAAGTGTCTTTGGAAAGCTGACATTGAATGTTTGCTTGAACACAGACCAGATCACTTCCAGAACACGTCTCATTGTTTCTGACAGCAACCTTTCTGATTGGCCCGTGGGTCTAAAGCCCGCCCACATTTTAGTAATGTGGTCATGACGCAGCAAATCTGGAGATGTGGGTACGGAGGAAAAGAGAGAGGGGTTTATTTCCTGACACACCGGGGACACACGGGGACACACCGGGGACACACGGGGACACACGGGGACACACGGGGACACACCGGGACACACCGGGGACACACCGGGGACACACCGGGGACACACCGGGACACTCCGGGGGGACACACGGGGACACACGGGGACACACCGGGACACACGGGGACACACAGGGGACACACGGGGACACACCGGGGACACACGGGGACACACCGGGGACACACCGGGGACACACAGGGACACACGGGGACACACCGGGACACTCCGGGGACACTCCGGGGGGACACACCGGGGACACATGGTGATGTAGAGAAGACATCAGGAAGTGCATTTTGCACAATAGGAGAGCTTTAATGGATCCTCCAACGTGGTTTCCACTGGATATTCATTACATCTGTAGTAAAAGTTGAATGGAAAACAATAAACAATCCCCTTACGTGTTTCCTGAAGACGTCAGCGTGCGGTCCGAGGGCCTGAGGGTCTGCGTCTCTGATGAACCAGACCACATCGTCCACAGACCAGGAGGAGGGGTCTTTATTCTGCGGGGCTTTGGACTCCTGTGGTTCTGAAGATGCATTATAACCTCCTGTAAGACCAACACAAAGATTAACCATCAGAGGAACCGTTAGGAAACTCTCCCTGGTCCCCGGCTTGAGCTTCAGCCTCAGGATCCATCTGTGATCCTCTCCATACAGAGACTAGTTCCTGAACAGTGTCCTTCACATGCTGATATCCAAGAGAGGGAGTTACACAGTCACAAGATGGAGGAGTAGAAAGCAGTATTCAATGTTTACTTCAGATTAGCTCCACGTCAGAAATGAGCATGCTTGATGTCTCTCTCCATAGAGGCTGAATCATCATGTTAATCACATAGCTATCATCTGCCTCAAACAGTCCTGATGCTCTTCTAGGTAATCACACATCCTGTCATGTTCACAGCTACAGTTGGGGTACCTTTGTTATCATGTGACTCTCATGTTGGAAGAGTATGTTTAAACACAAGTATCTGTACTTCTTCTTGAGTAAAGGATGTGTGTACTTTTGCCATCTCTAGTAACTGGTAGTAATCTTTATTTCGTGTTTCTCCTCTCACCTGTGCGGTTGCTCTCTATGAAAGAGTTCGGGCTGCTTGACGCCGGCCGGCAGACGCTCATCGAGCCGCCGGAGAACTGCTGCGACGATCGAAACCCGTACGAAGACTTTGGAGAATACGAAGAGCTGATGGAGCCGAAATCCCCGAGATCCATGGAGTACCGTTTACCATCGGACTGATCGAGATGGTAATCATCGGCCGTTTCAGCTGGAGACGAGATCAGAAGCAGAATTAGATCAGAGGATATGGCCATTGTTCGTAATACAAGATACTGAGAGGACTCTTTAAAGTAGAGACTCTACATACTGATATACACCTGAACATCAGCAGGAGAGGACTCTTTAAAGTAGAGACTCTACATACTGATATACACCTGAACATCAGCAGGAGAGGACTCTTTATAGTAGAGACACTACATACTGATATACACCTGAACATCAGCAGGAGAGGACTCTTTAAAGTATAGACACTACATACTGATATACACCTGAACATCAGCAGGAGAGGACTCTTTAAAGTATAGACACTACATACTGATATACACCTGAACATCAGCAGGAGAGGACTCTTTAAAGTAGAGACACTACATACTGATATACACCTGAACATCACCAGGAGAGGACTCTTTAAAGTATAGACACTACATACTGATATACACCTGAACATCAGCAGGAGAGGACTCTTTAAAGTAGAGACACTACATACTGATATACACCTGAACATCAGCAGGAGAGGACTCTTTAAAGTAGAGACACTGCATACTGATATACACCTGAACATCAGCAGGAGAGGACTCTTTAAAGTAGAGACACTACATACTGATATACACTGAACATCAGCAGGACAGGACTCTTTAAAGTAGAGACACTACATACTGATACACACCTGAACATCAGCAGGAGAGGACTCTTTAAAGTAGAGACACTACATACTGATATATACCTGAACATCAGCAGGAGAGGACTCTTTAAAGTAGAGACACTACATACTGATACACACCTGAACATCAGCAGGAGAGAACTCTTTAAAGTAGAGACACTACATACTGATATACCTGAACATCAGCAGGAGAGGACTCTTTAAAGTAGAGACACTACGTACTGATATACCTGAACATCAGCAGGAGAGGACTCTTTAAAGTAGAGACACTACATACTGATATACACCTGAACATCAGCAGGAGAGGACTCTTTAAAGTAGAGACACTACATACTGATATACACCTGAACATCAGCAGGAGAGGACTCTTTAAAGTAGAGACACTGCATACTGATATACACCTGAACATCAGCAGGAGAGGACTCTTTAAAGTAGAGACACTACATACTGATATACACTGAACATCAGCAGGAGAGGACTCTTTAAAGTAGAGACACTACATACTGATATACACCTGAACATCAGCAGGAGAGGACTCTTTAAAGTAGAGACACTACATACTGATACACACCTGAACATCAGCAGGAGAGAACTCTTTAAAGTAGAGACACTACATACTGATATACCTGAACATCAGCAGGAGAGGACTCTTTAAAGTAGAGACACTACGTACTGATATACCTGAACATCAGCAGGAGAGGACTCTTTAAAGTAGAGACACTACGTACTGATATACACCTGAACATCAGCAGGAGAGAACTCTTTAAAGTAGAGACACTACATACTGATACACACCTGAACATCAGCAGGAGAGAACTCTTTAAAGTAGAGACACTACATACTGATATACCTGAACATCAGCAGGAGAGGACTCTTTAAAGTAGAGACACTACGTACTGATATACCTGAACATCAGCAGGAGAGAACTCTTTAAAGTAGAGACACTACATACTGATATACCTGAACATCAGCAGGAGAGGACTCTTTAAGTAGAGACACTACGTACTGATATACCTGAACATCAGCAGGAGAGGACTCTTTAAAGTAGAGACACTACATACTGATATACACCTGAACATCAGCAGGAGAGGACTCTTTAAAGTAGAGACACTACATACTGATATACACCTGAACATCAGCAGGAGAGGACTCTTTAAAGTAGAGACACTACATACTGATATACACCTGAACATCAGCAGGAGAGGACTCTTTAAAGTAGAGACACTACATACTGATATACACCTGAACATCAGCAGGAGAGGACTCTTTAAAGTAGAGACACTACATACTGATATACCTGAACATCAGCAGGAGAGGACTCTTTAAAGTAGAGACACTACATACTGATATACACCTGAACATCATCAGGAGAGGACTCTTTAAAGTAGAGACACTACATACTGATATACCTGAACATCAGCAGGAGAGGACTCTTTAAAGTAGAGACACTACGTACTGATATACCTGAACATCAGCAGGAGAGAACTCTTTAAAGTAGAGACACTACATACTGATATACCTGAACATCAGCAGGAGAGGACTCTTTAAAGTAGAGACACTACATACTGATATACACCTGAACATCAGCAGGAGAGGACTCTTTAAAGTAGAGACACTACATACTGATATACACCTGAACATCAGCAGGAGAGGACTCTTTAAAGTAGAGACACTACATACTGATATACACCTGAACATCATCAGGAGAGGACTCTTTAAAGTAGACACTACATACTGATATACACCTGAACATCATCAGGAGAGGACTCTTTAAAAGATAATTTTGACTTTTTCCAGTATTCAGATTTTTTTTTAGAGTTCTGACTTTCTTTCCGAAATGTACCTTTTACCCTCAGACTGTCTAAATGGAAATCATCGGCCGTTTCAGAGACGAGATCAGAAAGTTAGATCAAAGAACATGTCCGTTATAAAAGCTTATAGTAAGGGATCTTGCTAAAGGGCTGAGGTTCTACCCAGAACTCTTTGCTGCTGAACCTTTTATCACGACACCTCTCCATAACTTCACCCTCACTATAGACGGCTTCCCAGTCCGAACCTCCCCTCACATCCGGAACCTAGGCATCATATCTGCCCAAACCCTCTCCTTCAACCGACACATCAAACAGATCACCAAGACAGCCCTCTTCAACCTCAATAACATTGCCCGTCTACGTCCATCCCTCTCCCCCACTGCTGCAGAAACCCTCATCCACGCCTTCATCACCTCCCGTCTGGATTACTGCAACAGCCTCCTCTACGGTTCACCTGCAGAAACCCTCATCCACGCCTTCATCACCTCCCGTCTGGATTACTGCAACAGCCTCCTCTACGGTTCACCTGCAGAAACCCTCATCCACGCCTTCATCCCCTCCCGCCTGGACTACTGCAACAGCCTCCTCTACGGTTCACCTGCAGAAACCCTCATCCACGCCTTCATCACCTCCCGCCTGGACTACTGCAACAGCCTCCTCTACGGTTCACCTGCAGAAACCCTCATCCACGCCTTCATCACCTCCCGTCTGGATTACTGCAACAGCCTCCTCTACGGTTCACCTGCAGAAACCCTCATCCACGCCTTCATCACCTCCCGCCTGGATTACTGCAACAGCCTCCTCTACGGTTCACCTGCAGAAACCCTCATCCACGCCTTCATCACCTCCCGCCTGGACCACTGCAACAGCCTCCTCTACGGTTCACCTGCAGAAACCCTCATCCACGCCTTCATCACCTCCCGCCTGGATTACTGCAACAGCCTCCTCTACGGTTCACCTGCAGAAACCCTCATCCACGCCTTCATCACCTCCCGCCTGGATTACTGCAACAGCCTCCTCTACGGTTCACCTGCAGAAACCCTCATCCACGCCTTCATCACCTCCCGCCTGGACTACTGCAACAGCCTCCTCTACGGTTCACCTGCAGAAACCCTCATCCACGCCTTCATCACCTCCCGCCTGGACTACTGCAACAGCCTCCTCTACGGTTCACCTGCAGAAACCCTCATCCACGCCTTCATCACCTCCCGTCTGGATTACTGCAACAGCCTCCTCTACGGTTCACCTGCAGAAACCCTCATCCACGCCTTCATCACCTCCCGCCTGGACTACTGCAACAGCCTCCTCTACGGTTCACCTGCAGAAACCCTCATCCACGCCTTCATCCCCTCCCGCCTGGACTACTGCAACAGCCTCCTCTACGGTTCACCTGCAGAAACCCTCATCCACGCCTTCATCACCTCCCGTCTGGATTACTGCAACAGCCTCCTCTACGGTTCACCTGCAGAAACCCTCATCCACGCCTTCATCACCTCCCGTCTGGATTACTGCAACAGCCTCCTCTACGGTTCACCTGCAGAAACCCTCATCCACGCCTTCATCACCTCCCGTCTGAACCACTGCAACAGCCTCCTCTACGGTTCACCTGCAGAAACCCTCATCCACGCCTTCATCACCTCCCGTCTGAACCACTGCAACAGCCTCCTCTACGGTTCACCTGCAGAAACCCTCATCCACGCCTTCATCACCTCCCGCCTGGATTACTGCAACAGCCTCCTCTACGGTTCACCTGCAGAAACCCTCATCCACGCCTTCATCACCTCCCGCCTGGACTACTGCAACAGCCTCCTCTACGGTTCACCTGCAGAAACCCTCATCCACGCCTTCATCACCTCCCGTCTGAACCACTGCAACAGCCTCCTCTACGGTTCACCTGCAGAAACCCTCATCCACGCCTTCATCACCTCCCGTCTGGACCACTGCAACAGCCTCCTCTACGGTTCACCTGCAGAAATCCTCAACAAACTTCAATACATCCAGAACTCCGCCGCCCGTCTACTCACCCACACCCGAATCCGTGAACACATCACCCCATCCTCATCAAGCTCCACTGGCTCCCCATCCCCAGATAATCCAGTACCAAATCCTCCTGATGACGTACAAAGCCCTCCATAACCTGGCCCCCCCACCTGACTGGCCTCCTCCACAGACACACTCCCACTCGCTCCCTCCGCTCTGCTGCTGCCAACCTCCTGCCCCCTCCCCCCACCCGGACCGACCTCAAGTCCTGGGGCGACAGAGCCTTCTCCATTGCTGCACCCACCCTCTGGAGCTCACTACCCCAATCCATCAGAGACTCTTCCTCCCTCACAGCATTCAAAACATCACTCAAAACCCACCTGTTCAACACTGCATTCAACCACTGACCCCCCCCCCCCCCTATTTTCTGTTAATCTCTTTTTGCATTTTTCTTTGTTTTTGTTGTTGTTTTTTATTCTCTCTCAAAGCGCCTTTGAGTGTCTAGAAAAGCGCAAAACAAGTATCATGTATTATTATTATTATTAAGACATGTTTTCTTAATTGAAGTTCCTCCTAGCCAGAACTCCCTCAAAAACTATTAGGGCGTTCACACCAAGTTCTTTTCCCACAATAGGTCAGGAGAACTCTTTAGTTCTCATGAACTAAGTACAGATCGCGTTCACACCGGAATAAGTCCCTGGGGGTGGATTAGGCAAATGAAGCCGCTGACGTCACTTCTTCTTCTTCTGCTTTGGGTTTACTGGCAGGCCGCAAACAACTTCACGGCGTATACTGCCACCCGGAGTCCCCGGCCGGAAGTCCCCGGAGTTGGGGACTGGCTTCAGACTGTACTCATCCATGCTTCTACTGCGCTGGGCTAATGCTAATGCTAATAATGCTAATGCAAGGATAATAAAATGGCGGCTTCACAAAACTTTTTGGGAGTTTTACGGGGCGTGGTTTGCAATCCGCCCAGCCAATCAGGCATAGGAACCTTTTTCTCCCACGAAAGTACCTGCTCTCTAGCAGGGACGGAAAAGGGGGTAAAAATGGTTCTGATGAACTCATTTAGTTCCGGCTCTTTTTGGTGTGAAAGCAAATATATCTGAGTTCTGATGAACTATTGTGGGAAAAGTACTCCGGTGTGAACGCGCCAAAAGATTGGGAATGGGAGTTTTTTTATAAGACTAAAACATTAAAGACCATTAGAAATAATTTCCATCCAAAGAATCGGTTTTGAAGAAAGGATCTTTCTCAGAATTATGATTTGTTTACAGAATCCTGTCTTTTTTTATTAGAATTTGAACATTTTGTCAGAACTATATATTTTCTCCGAATTTTTACTCATTTGTCCAAAAAATATTTTTACTTTTCTCAGAATTCAGAATTTTGACTTTCTTTCAGAAATGTGACTTTTTTGCTTCTGAATTAAATGTTTTTTATCAGATTGGTATTCTTTTTCCGAATGTTGACATTTGTCCTAACGTCTGAATATTTTCCTCATGAAGTTTCTCTTAATTTCAGAATCCTCTCTACCGTCGGAGGCGTAGGCGCCCGTGCTGATTGGCTGATCGCTGAACAGGTTTTCGCAGTGCAGAGAGCGGCAGAGTTTCTTCAGGAAGCGCAGCACGTAGTCGATGCTGTTCACCACCGGGAGGCTGAGCAGGTGCTGCTTCCCGTCAAACGTGGCTGCAAACAAACAAACACACTTTAAACAACATCACAAATATGATAAATGTGGCCAAAAGATTTCATCACGATATTTGCAGGTTTGAAAATGTGTCGCTTCTATGTTAATCTTTCATCAATGCTTTTTTTTGGATAATGAAAACCCCTCAAAAAGCGATTGTAGGAAGTTGGAGGTGTAGTCTGTAACCCTGAAGGTACAATAGCATAACAACAACAACAACAAAATATTCTAACAATTATCATTAGTTGTTGCCTAGTCCATTAATGCTACACAACAACAACAACAACAACAACAACAACATCATGACAAAACCAAACAAAAACCGTGGTACATGTTTATATTCTCCAATTGTCCCTACTACATTTCTCGTTAACCCAATAGGACAGAAACGCCTTGACGGAATCTCTTATAATTGGGCACCACCAATGACTTGGACTTAAGGATGAAGTTGTTATAATTTGAAGGTCAAAGGTTACATCCATCCCAATCCGTGTGACGGTAATATCTTGGGAACTCATTAATGGAATTTCTTCAAATTTGGCCAGAAAGTCAGCCTGGACCCGAGGCTGAACTGATATAGTTTATGGTCTGAGGTCAGTGTGACCTCGCAAAACCCTACAATCGTTTTGGGCCATAACACAAGAATGAATACGCTTAATATGACAATTAAAGGTCCCATGTCATGGCCATTTCCACTGATCATAGTTCCATTGTTGAGCTCTACTAGAATAGATTTATATTGTGCAATTTTCCAAACTCACATTGGTTTCTCAGAATCTCTGTAAACTACGTGTATTCACTGAATTTCACTCTCTGCCTTTAACGGCTCGTTGTAGCTCCAATAGCTCCAGCCCCCACCCTCCCTGTGAGCACAGTGTGCTCTGATTGGTCGGGACGTTGTGAATCGCGCTGAGCTCCGTGGAGGTGTTGTTTCCTTGTTTAGCGAAACACAGCCAAACTCACCCTGAGCACACACAAAGTCACAGCCGAAGTAAAAACAATAAGTGTGGCTTGATATTGAGAAAGAAAAGGGTTGATAAACGCTGTGAGAATGGGTCTGCAGAGAGAATGGGTCTGCAGAGAGAATGGGTCTGCAGAGAGAATGGGTCTGCAGAGAGAATGGGTCTGCAGAGAGAATGGGTCTGCAGAGAGAATGGGTCTGCAGAGAGAATGGGTCTGCAGAGAGAATGGGTCTGCAGAGAGAACGGGTCTGCAGAGAGAATGGGTCTGCAGAGAGAATGGGTTTGCAGAGAGAATGGGTCTGCAGAGAGAATGGGTTTGCAGAGAGAATGGGTCTGCAGAGAGAATGGGTCTGCAGAGAGAATGGGTCTGCAGAGAGAATGGGTCTGCAGAGAGAACGGGTCTGCAGAGAGAATGGGTCTGTAGAGAGAATGGGTCTGCAGAGAGAATGGGTCTGCAGAGAGAATGGGTCTGCAGAGAGAACGGATCTGCAGAGAGAATGGGTCTGTAGAGAGAATGGGTCTGTAGAGAGAATGGGTCTGCAGAGAGAATGGGTCTGCAGAGAGAATGGGTCTGTAGAGAGAATGGGTCTGCAGAGAGAACGGGTCTGCAGAGAGAATGGGTCTGCAGAGAGAATGGGTCTGAAGAGAGAATGGGTCTGCAGTGAGAATGGGTCTGCAGAGAGAATGGGTCTGCAGAGAGAACGGGTCTGTAGAGAGAATGGGTCTGCAGAGAGAATGGGTCTGTAGAGAGAATGGGTCTGCGGTGAGAGAGAATGGGTCTGTAGAGAGAATGGGTCTGTAGAGAGAATGGGTCTGTAGAGAGAATGGGTCTGCAGAGAGAATGGGTCTGTAGAGAGAATGGGTCTGCAGAGAGAATGGGTCTGTAGAGAGAATGGGTCTGTAGAGAGAATGGGTCTGCAGAGAGAACGGGTCTGTAGAGAGAATGGGTCTGTAGAGAGAATGGGTCTGCAGAGAGAATGGGTCTGCAGAGAGAACGGGTCTGTAGAGAGAATGGGTCTGCAGAGAGAATGGGTCTGTAGAGAGAATGGGTCTGGAGAGAGAATGGGTCTGTAGAGAGAATGGGTCTGTAGAGAGAATGGGTCTGTAGAGAGAATGGGTCTGCAGAGAGAATGGGTCTGTAGAGAGAATGGGTCTGCAGAGAGAATGGGTCTGTAGAGAGAATGGGGTCTGTAGAGAGAATGGGTCTGCAGAGAGAACGGGTCTGTAGAGAGAATGGGTCTGTAGAGAGAATGGGTCTGTAGAGAGAATGGGTCTGCAGAGAGAGAGAATGGGTCTGTAGAGAGAATGGGTCTGCAGAGAGAATGGGTCTGTAGAGAGAATGGGTCTGCAGAGAGAATGGGTCTGCAGAGAGAATGGGTCTGCAGAGAGAACGGGTCTGTAGAGAGAACGGGTCTGCAGAGAGAACGGGTCTGTAGAGAGAATGGGTCTGTAGAGAGAATGGGTCTGCAGAGAGAATGGGTCTGCAGAGAGAACGGGTCTGCAGAGAGAACGGGTCTGCAGAGAGAATTTCGCCGCGATCCCAACTGTCTGTTATCAGCCTGCAGCCAGGGAGGAGAGATCAGCAGAGCTGCCTGCACTGAGTGTGTGAGGAAGTCCGTGGATTGGTCAATTTGGACCAATCAGCGGGGGCTTAACGTAACGGCTCCGCGGACGTAACGTAACGGTTCCACGGATTGGTCCATTTCGTTCCAGGTACGGTTGACGTCATGCGTACCCGGAAGAATCAAATGGACAGTGACGTATCTCCAACGAGGCGTTTTGGGGAGGTATTTTCTGTGTTAGAGTTTTACTCGCTACAGGGTGTACTTTGAAGGTTTTGACTCTGCACACCGTTTACATGCATAAAAACCTTCATAACAACAAGGGGACGGGTACTAACCGGAAAAGCATGACATGGGACCTTTAAAACAAATTGACACAGTCGGTAAACACATCTTGACGCATAAGCTCTGTTAAGCGCCTCGATAAACATTCATCTGTTTGTCCTCTTTCAATGTACTTATTTATCTAAATAGTTATCACCTTAATAAACTGTATTTCATTTAATCTTGCTGTACAATATTTCATTTTACATTCTGTTCTTGTACATATCATATTCTATTTACATGTATAGACTTCTGGCACTATTTTGTATTTGTATTTTATTATACATGTTGTATCGTTGAAGGAGCTCTGGTCAGAAGAGCACGGTAGCTTATGTGCAAGCTGACATTAAGACCTTTGAATCTTGAATCATAAGTTCACCGACGAGTCCAAGTGGAAATTTGTGCCAATATTTTAAGGATTTTTGGGATATTACAAGAATAAGAAGAAGTCACAAAGATATTTCACTATAGAAATCCTATCAGTTCATCCTGATGTCCAGGTAAAGATTTGTGCAAAGTCTGAAGTCATTTCAAGGCGTTCTTCATATATTGGGGAGGAAATGGAATCAAACCACTAAAATCTCAGTTTATCCTCGAGTCTCAGTGGGCAATCTCCTCCAAACTTTGTGAGCATTATATATTTTTCTCAGAATTGTAACTTTTTCTGATTTGTTTTTGTGACTTTTTCTCATTCAGATTTATTTTTTGAATTTTGACTTTTTATCAGAACTGTATTATTTTTGTGAATGTTGATTTTTTTTTTTTACATAATTTACTATATATCTCAAACTCCTCATTCTCTATGAGTGCCTTTTCAGGTACAGTGGTAAACAAAGGGGTAGACGATGTTGGACGAATAGAAAGCAACACCTGAGGGAGGTCTTTGTACAACACCTGATATCTTTTCTCCCCCGTAGCCCTGGGTGAGCAGCGTGAAGACGGTTTTCTGCAGGAAGGCGCTGTCGATGCAGCCCTGCACGGCCTGCTGGAGCACCACGGAGGGTCGGTCCGGCCCGAAGTGATCCGGCAGCTGGAGGATCTTCTTCCGGTCCAAGTTAGGACCCGTGTTGGCTTGCTTGTTGATGTAGATGCAGACTGGAGCAGGGACACACAGGGGAAAGAGATACTTGATTATAGTTTAGGGTAAGAGATAGAAAGACATGCAGCTAGGGTCCGCAGGTTGGAGTAGAACCCGAGAACTACTTTAATGATCTTAATGGGAACAGTTGGATGTTCTGAGGGAGTTGTATGAGGTTAATTGTAAGTGTGTGATGTTAAGCAATGTTCTGCTGCGGACGCTTTTGCACAATTTTATTGCAATATTTGATGCACTTTTTTCTTTTTATGTTGTATGTAGCCTTGGTGCAGGAGCCTAAGACTTACAAAACAGCCTATGGGTCCTTTGAACATCAGTGTACACTATATCTGTTGTGCTAGCAGGGTGAAATCAAAACTTAGCTGTGATTGGTCAACCTCTTACGGCCCGTCCACACAGCGGCGTGCGTTGAAAGCTTTACCATTCACTTTGAATGGGTGACGTCACTTTGAGCCGAACTGCATTGTGGGAAGCTCGCGGCAAAAGTTGAGCAATGTTCAACTTTTGAAGCCTCGGCAGAAGCGTCAGCCAGTCGAATCATATGCCAGTACGAGCTCTAGCCAATCAAACCGCTGCTTGTGTGTCAGGGAGATTAAAGTGATTGGTTGTTGGTCGAGTTTCAGACACGCCCGCCGGCAAGCTTCAACGCACGCCGCCGTGTGGACGGGCCGTTAGAGATGTCCCGCCTCTTAGCCTATCACAGACAATGTGTTGGAGCGCTAGCCAATAGGAGCGCCAGCGTTAGTGATGTCACTATGTTCCGGGAGTTAACAAAGGAGTCCAATGGAGGTGTTTCAGGCAGGGGGGGGGGGGGGAAGTCCCTTTGGAGGGAACAGGGATTTTAGCCTCTGCAGACCTAAAACCTAAAAATGTATTTATTTAAACCTGAACAGTTTTAAATGGAGCAGGAGTGTTCTGTAGTGATGTCACTATGTTCCAGGAGTAAACGCAGGAAAGGGAATATCGTTTTTTAATGTTATTTTCTTCAAATAGTTATTTATCTGAGTTTTTATTTTTGATGTATGCACCACAACATCAAGTCAAATCTCTCGTATGTGTCAACCCACCTGGTGATAAACCTGATTCTGATTTTAAAAACATACACTTGGGTACAGGGTACTGCTGATCAGCATTAAAGGTGTATTTGGTGTGTTCCTGTTACCTGTGAGCACCTGGGGGGTGGCAGAGTGCGGCACGGTGGCAGCGTCCTGGGGGATGGAGCTCATGTCGGGCTCGGGGGTGCTGCTGGGGGGGGAGACGGCCAGTGGGGTCATCACCATCCGGGGTTTCAGCTGCAGGAGAGAAGGGTACGCATTGTTGTTGGTATTTCAGGCGTATTATTGATAAATCCACAAACGTATCGTCTTCATTTACATTATTTCATTTCATATTCTGTTCTTGTACATATCTACGGAGCCCTGGAGGGTTCATAGAGAGAAATAAATAAAACGAGGCCATGTTTCATTCATTTGTGCACATGATATACTTTTTTGTGCGCACGAGATTACCGGTGCGCCAAGTAGGAAGAGGAGCACAGGAGACAACCCTTCATTGCAGACTGTTATGTTTACGTGGGAAATGGCAGTGCATACATTATTTGAGATATATTTCAAACTCGACTTCATTTTAGGGACATTTCGGCCAGGGGTGTAGAGCTATTTGTTCAAGCACCGGATTCGCAAAACAGGAGAGTAAACCAGTCTGCCTTGATCTATGAATTCATGTCCGTGACTCTCTCAGTATCTGCTGTCAGCGCGCAGAGAGCTGTGTCTTCATCGTGTTTACCTTCAGAACAGAGATCGAGGCTGCTACGTTTTAGCCACACACACACACACACACACACACACACACACACACACACACACACACACACACACACACACACACACACACACACACACACACACACACACACACACACACACACACACACACACACACACACACACACACACACACACACACACACACACACACACACACACACACACACACACACACACACACACACACACACACACACACACACACACACACACACACACACACACACACACACACACACACACACACACACACACACACACACACACACACACACACACACACACACACACACACACACACACACACACACACACACACACACACAACACACACATTATTCCCCCTATTACTCGTTTTATGAAGGAGATGTCCGGTCTCCAGGGCGCGTGATGTGTAAATAACCAATTTGTGTTCTGTAAAACTGACAAGGATATTACTTTGTTTTTGTTACTTTCGTTGCAGTTGTATCTTAAATGTAATTTAGGTTAACTTCCTGTTTTATTTAGATGCTTTTATTTTGAAGGCGAGTTTACGATATTGACAGGAAGTTGTTGTTGCTATGGAAACGTGAAATGCTACATGATGTGTGTTGTGTTCGGTGTATGTGTGTGTCCGACACCGGCATTTGTTTTCAAATGACCATGAACAGTAATTTACACACATCTGGCTAACTCCATCTGTGTGTTCCCAAGTGAAAGAAGTTCGTTTACTCTTAATCTCGATGTAGGCTAGAGTGCTAAATGCTGTCGGAGTGCAACGGAACGAACGCCACTATCATAATGTCTTCTGAAAACAAATGCACACGTGCGCACATGCGCACACACACACACACACACACACACACACACACACACACACACACACACACACACACACACACACACACACACACACACACACACACACACACACACACACACACACACACACACACACACACACACACACACCACACACACACACACACACACACACACACACACACACACACACACACACACACACACACACACACACACACACACACACACACACACACACACACACACACACGTTACCTACTGTAACCCCAGCTTCTATGAGTAAATGGCTTCGCCCTCTAAGGCTATTGCTATTGGGTAATCCCCCTGCGCCCCGCGCAGCACTGAAACACTTGTAGTCCACGCCCACCCGCTAGGTGGGCCCCACCCTCGGGCCTCCTTCCGGTATAAATAGGAAGGAGGCCCGGCAATCTGCTCCCATACAAAATAACTTTTCTTCAGCTATTCGTAGAGCCAGTGCGGCCCAGCGCTTAGAGGGCTGCGCCATTTACTCATAGAAGCTGGGTTACAGTAGGTAACCTCAGTTCTATTTCGTATATGGCTTCGCCCTCTAAGGCTATCGCTATTGGGTTAAGGGCGAAGCATGATGTAGTCTGCGCCCCACTGGGTCCGTCCAGCACTAGAAGCACAGACACACCTGCTCAATAACACCCCCTGCCTGTTGTGCCATGCGTAATGGCGCATCACCGTCCCTGGAACATAGCAAAACATGCCTGTCTTCCCGACGGGGTGAAGGCTGGGAACAATACATACCGACCGCTGTGAGAAAGTAGAGACGAAGGTCCCACCTTGCCCTGCGATCATAGAGGGGGAACAGCAGCTCTCTGCGTATCTCGGACAGAGGAATGCCGCGAGCTCTGCAGGTTATTAACCAAAAAGTTATAACCACCAGGCCTCTGCAGCGAACCCTGCTGCCTACTCATCAACAGATTGGAGGCAGCTGGCGTAGTTACCGCGCTCTGCAGTTTATTAACCGATAGATTAAAACCTGCAGTCTTTTGTAACGAACCCTGCTGGCTATTAACCGATAGGTCATAGGCAGCTGGTTCACCCAGAGTGGGGGATATGTGAGACACATTTGAAACTGATGACTCAGACAAAAGGTTGGGAAATGAGCTTTCTTCCTCTTTATTTCCCTCACAATCCCCCCCAAACCGTCAAGGCCGGCTCTGCTTCCTCGGCGGCTCTCGTGGAGCAGACGACGAGCGGGAATACCTCGCTCGTCGTTGACCACCCACTGGTGGGGGGGCGGAGGGGCGGGACGGTGCCCCTGCCGACGGACGAATCTGACGCCTCGCCTGCCGCTGGTGCCGCTGAGGCTTCGCTGCAGGCTGGAGCCAGCCAACGTGCTGGCGGATATCGTCCGCCTGCTCCGCCGCCGCCTTCATGGACTCCACCATGGCTAGGAACTGGGGTCCAAACAGCCCGTCCGGGCTGATCGGAGCGTCCAGCAAGACCTTCCTGGCTGGCTCTGTAACAGCCGCCTGTTGCAGCCATAGGTGGCGCTGGATCTGCGTCATCCACGCAGCGATCCTCGCCTGGGAGACAGCCACGGATGCGCACAGCGTGAGTGCCGTGCTGGCCGCCTTGCCGATCTCCTCCGCCTCCTCTGGAGCCACTGTGGTGGACCGCTCCACCAGCGTAACCACCGAGTTGGACAGCAACGCGATGTTGTTTGCCGCCGCCGACGCCTGAAACGCACATTGGTGCGCCCGGTCAGCCTGGCAGGCGACATACTGGTCCCTGGGGGAGGCCAACGTAGGGCGTCGTCCGGCGATCAAGTTGGCCTGCCTAACCCCAAAGAACGCCGTCAGGCTCGGCTCCAGAGCAGGGGTGGTTGGGAAACCATCCTCCGTGAATCCCTCCACCTTAGTGAAGGGAACAAAGGTGGCCACCGGAGCCCTCAGGGTCCTCGGGTTTGCCGCCGCCCCCTCCTGGTACCTCCTAATGGCGGGGAAGCGCGGCCAGACCGGGTCACTCCTGCCCGTCTGAACCCGGGATCTCCAGCATGATGCCACCCAACGCCGGCAGCGCCGTGGCAACGGAGAAGGTGACCGCGTGCTCGGCCGCCAAACCCGCACCGACTCCGTCTCCCCGTCCGGGGGAGAGGGGGAGGGGAGAGCCGCATGGCGAGCCATGGAGGGAGACGGGGTAGGAGTCGTCCGAGACAGGCTGCCGTCCCTGTGCTCCTGGACGGGCCAATCGTCCTCCTCGGCCGCTAGAGCGTCCGCTCTTCGCTTCCTGTCGGCTGATGGGAGACGGGCACAATGCGAGCAAGCGACCTGCTGGCTGAGAGCCGAGTGCTCTGGCCCCAGGCAGGATTCGCATATCGCGTGTAGGTCATAGCTCGTGATATAACCCGTTTTACATGAGGGACAATCACGGACGCAGTTGTTGCTCATGACTCAATTCCTGTGCTTCAGTAACTGCTGGTTTGCTGAAGAAAAGAGGGAGCAGATTGCCGGGCCTCCTTCCTATTTATACCGGAAGGAGGCCCGAGGGTGGGCCCACCTTGCGGGTGGGCGTGCCGTGGACTACAAGTGTTTCAGTGCTGCGCGGGGGCGCAGGGGGATTACCCAATAGCGATAGCCTTACAGGGCGAAGCCATATACGAAATAGAACACACATACACGCACACAAACATACACACACAAACACACACACACACACACGTCCTGGCGACCGGACATCTTCTTCATAAAACTAATAATATGGCGTAATAATCGGCAATTTATTTATTCTTCTCTATGAACCCTCCGGGGCTCCGTACATATCCCATATTCTACTGACAATTTTTATTTTGTATTTTATGATATAGGTTGCATTGTGGGAGCTCAGGTCAGAAGGATGTCATTGCCATGTATCCGCTCTGCTGAGCATCTGATGATAACACCTTTGAATTGATTCTGTTTGTAACCCTTTCATTTACACACACTTTATCATTAAAACATGCAGGAAAGGACCTTTTATGACAGATGTCTTGGTAATATAAGTGGCCTTCTTTATCCTGTAGAAGTTAACATGCATTTTATGTACAAAAACAGACTTCACATTATTAAATCCCTTTTGGGCTTTAAAAAAAAACCTAAAATCTGAACAAAGCCTGCAGATGTGACCCCTCTCTGACACAACATGTGCAGGGCATGATCCTATGTACACATGCATTATTAAACACACACACACACACACACACACACACACACACACTCTCACTCTTCCCCCTCACTCTTCCCCCTCTTTTGGGGCACCAGTGAGGCAGCGACTTATGTCAATAACATTTATCACATCTACAGATATCTTAGTAATGTGAGTGGACTTTCTGTAGCCACTATTATCCTGTATTAAGATAATGTCATTTAAACAGCCTTCTGCAGAATGAAGCATGCATATTATGTACAAAAACAGACTATATTTACATTATTAAATCCCTTTGGATCCCAATCTCTCTGACACAACACAACATGTGCAGGGCATGATCCTATGTACAACACATGCATTTTTAAACACACTGCACCCCCCCCCCCACTCTCTCTCACACACACACACACACACACACACACACACACACACACACACACACACACACACACACACACACACACACACACACACACACACACACACACACACACACACACACACACACACACACACACACACACACACACACACTTCCCCCTCGCGTATCCCACCTTGAATCCCGGTTTTCTGCCCCTCTTTTTGGGCACTTTGAGTGGAGGCAGCGACTCGGGGTAGCGGCTTGTTGTGAAGTCCATCTTGGCGTTGTTCCGGAGGGGGGGTCGGCCTCTCTTTCTGCCCGGGATCTTGCCCCCCAGGCTGGGGAGGAAGGAGGGAGACACTGCAGCCGATTGCATCTCTCTGTCGTCTGGGTTCTGAGCCGCTGCTGCAGGAACACTCATCTGGAGACAAAGAGCAGAGCTGCAGAACACACCATGCTACTCCGCGATATCACACACACACAGCTATTAGCTTCATCATAGCATGCATTAGCTTCACACACAGAGGGAACTGAGCTACACACATGCTAAACAATAATGATGCTCCTCCTCCATATGTTACACAGCAGCAATTAGCTTCATTTACAGACCGGAATCCTGAAGCACCACTGATGCTCCTCTATAAAACACAGCATGCATTCGCTTCATTTGTTGAGGACACTGAGCTGTAGAAATGCTACAGTGATCCCCCTCCTCTAACACAGCATGCTTTAGCATCATTTAGAAAGGGAACTGAGCTACATACATGCTAAACAATAATGCACCCTGATGCTCCTCCTCTGTATATACCACACCATGCATTAGCTTACTTTAAAGACAGACATACTCAAACACAATGCCCCTGGTGCTCCTCTATAACACACCATGCATTAGCACCATGTTTAAAGGGAACTAAGCTACATACATGCTAAGCAGTAATGCACACTCCTCCTCGCAGAGCATCATGTGCAGACAGACAGATGCTACAGAACAATGCCCTCTCCTCCTGTCAGCAACACAGCATCCTTTACAGAGAGGAGCAATGCAGCATTTAGCAGAGCAGCATCACAACACAAAGGCAGCCATGAGGAGGAGGAAGAGGATGATGATGAAGAGAAGGAGGGTTATTTCTCTTTCTTGTTGTACCTGCTGTCTTCTGTAGTGAAAGCAAAGAGCCAAGCCCTTTAGTGTGGATGACACAGAAACTACAGAGCTGCTTTCCTGCAGACAGCCATCCTCCGCTGCTCTCCGGCTGCAGATTCTCATTAGACTAATGCATTCAGCAGGGAGAGAGGGAGAGGGGGGGGGGCTTCACCATGGAGACCCAGCTATGAATTACCATTACGATGACAGCTTCCACCCTAATCTGTAAAAACCAGGAGAGCAGGAGAAACACATCTCTCATGCAGGACGAGTGGATGTTTAATACAGGATGCCATATTTTAAATACCAGAAAGTGCAGCTGTCAGATGCTTCTGTTTATAAAGCTATGTTGGGCAAACTCCCGTATTACATCTGTTCTCTGGTAAAGCAGAAAGTTGCAGGCAGCTATTGTCTGAGATCGCAGGATGTAGTCTTGTTAGATGTACCAAGAGTAAGGACTGTTTTAGGTAAGACAGCTTTTATGTGCGCAGCTCCACTTGCTTGGAACAGCCTACAGTCCAAATTGAATTTGAGCAATTTTATTTCTCTGAATGTTTTTAAGGCACGTCTGCACGAGATGCTTTCTGACACTATGGGTGTTTGTAAGTGTTGGTAAATATGATGTCCTCTATTGTTTGTTTTGATGTTGTTTTTATGTTTCATGTGGAACTAAATTGATGCAGGTCTCCCTTGTAAAAGAGATCCGTGATCTCAAGGGACCTACCTAAATAAAGGTTTGAAATGAAATGAAATGAATGTCCCTTTGACACCTGTCTCTTTTGTGCCTATAGACATTTCTTTATTTATACCTCAAAACGGCCAATTTAATACATGAACTGTCTCTAAAATACATACAAATGTAATGCTTAGAAATGTCTTTATTTATACCTGAACAGTATTTATTTAATACATGCAAACTGCCTCTTTTATACCTAAAAATGTTTATTTAAATGCCTAAAAATGTCGTAATTTATACCTGAACAGTTTTTATTCAATACCTGCAAAATGACAGGCGCGAAGGGCAGCAGCCTCATCCGTGGCCGAGGCAAAGCAGCGGGTGTGGGAGAAGTTCGGAGAAGACATGGAGAAGGACTTTCGGGCGGCACCAAAGTTGTTCTGGAAAACTGTCCGACACCTCAGGAGGGGGAAGCAGGGAACCATCCAAGCTGTGTACAGTAAGGATGGGACGTTGTTGACCTCAATTGATGGAGTGTTAGGGCGTTGGAAGGAACACTTTGAGGAACTCCTGACCCCGACAACTCCGCCCTCTATGTTAGAGGCAGAGCTGGAGTATGACGGGGGATCAACACCAATCTCCCGGGGGGAGGTCACTGAGGTCGTCAAACAACTCCACAGTGGCAAAGCCCCGGGGGTGGATGAGATCCGCCCGGAAATGCTGAAGGCTCTGGGTGTTGAGGGACTGTCATGGTTGACACGTCTCATCAACGTTGCGTGGAAGTCGGAAACAGTACAGAAGGAGTGGCAGACCGGGGTGGTGGCTCCCCTTTTTAAAAAGGGGGATCAGAGGGTGTGTGCCAATTACAGAGGCATCACACTACTCAGCCTCCCCGGGAAAGTTTACTCTAAGCTACTCGAAAGGAGGGTCAGGCCGATTGTCGAACCTCAGATTGAGGAGGAACAATGCGGATTCCGTCCTGGTCGTGGAACGACGGATCAGCTTTTTACTCTCGCAAGGATCCTGGAGGGGGCCTGGGAGTACGCTTATCCGGTCTACATGTGTTTTGTAGACTTGGAGAAGGCGTATGACCGAGTTCCCAGGGAGTTACTGTGGGAGGTGCTGCGGGAGTATGGGGTGAGGGGGTCTCTACTCAGGGCCATCCAATCTCTGTACTCCCAAAGCGAGAGCTGTGTCCGGGTCCTCGGCAGTAAGTCGGACCCATTTCCGGTGAGGGTTGGCCTCCGCCAGGGCTGCGCTTTGTCACCAATCCTGTTTGTAATATACATGGATCGGATTTCGAGGCGTAGTCATGGGGGAGGGGGTCTGCAGTTCGGTGGACTAAGGATTGCACCACTGCTTTTTGCAGATGATGTGGTTCTAATGGCTTCATCGGTCTGCGACCTTCAGCACTCACTGGATCGGTTCGCAACCGAGTGTGAAGCGGCTGGGATGAGGATCAGCACCTCCAAATCTGAGGCCATGGTTCTCAGCAGGAAACCGATGGACTGTCCACTTCAAGTAGGGAATGAGTCCTTACCCCAAGTGAAGGAGTTCAAGTATCTCGGGGTCTTGTTCTCGAGTGAGGGAACAATGGAGCGTGAGATGGGCCGGAGAATCGGAGCAGCGGGAGCGGTACTGCAGTCGCTTTACCGCACCGTTGTGACGAAAAGGGAGCTGAGCCAGAAGGCAAAGGTCTCTGTCTACCGGGCCATTTTCGTTCCTACCCTCACCTATGGTCATGAAGGATGGGTCATGACCGAAAGAACGAGATCGCGGATACAAGCGGCCGAGATGGGTTTTCTCCGCAGGGTGGCTGGTGTCTCCCTTAGGGATAAGGTGAGAAGTTCGGTCATCAGGGAGGGACTCGGAGTTGAGCCGCTCCTCCTTCGCGTCGAAAGGAGCCAGTTGAGGTGGTTCGGGCACCTAGTTAGGATGCCACCTGGGCGCCTCCCTAGGGAGGTGTTCCAGGCACGTCCAGCTGGGAAGAGACCAAGGGGTAGACCTAGGACCAGGTGGAGGGATTATATCTCTTCGCTGGCCTGGGAGCGCCTTGGGATCCCCCAGTCAGAGCTGGTTGATGTCGCCAGGGAAAAGAAAGTTTGGGGCTCTCTGCTGGAACTGCTACCCCCGCGACCCGACCACGGATAAGCGGGAGAAGATGGATGGATGGATGGACCTGCGAAATGTATTTTAAATACCAGAACATTTAGCTGTAAGATGCGTTTGTTTCCTTCGATACGTGAAAAACGGTCTCTTTTCTGCAAACCGTCTGTTTTACGGCTAAAGATGTTACCTAAACATTTCTTTATTTATACCTGAACAGTTTTTATTCAATACCTGCTAAATGTATTTCTAATGCCTGGTAATGTTTCTATTTATACCAGAAGAAAGTATCTGTAATACATGCAAAATGCTTCTTGAATACCACAAAATGTATTAAGAAGTGTCGCTATTGTACGTATTCATTTAAAAATAAAGATTTACTGGAAAACTGTCTCTTGTTTTTTTAGGAGATATCTCAACGTGTTCACAGACAGTAACATGCAGCAGGACACACACTGTCAATATGAACGTGTGTGTGTGTGAGTGTGTGAGAGCATTAGAGAGAGTCGCAGCGAGGGAGAAGAGCTCCTCTGTTGTCATGGCAACAAGCCTGTAAGCTCCTCTTCTGACTGTCAGCCATGTTTGTTTGTCTCTGCACTGTGTGTGTGTGTGTGTGTGTGTGTGTGTGTGGTGTGTGTGTGTGTGTGAGTGTGTGTGTGTGTGTGTGTGTGTGTGAGTGTGTGTGAGTGTGTGTGAGTGTGTGTCTGTGTGTGTGAGTGTGTGTCTGTGTGTGTGATGTGTGTGTATGTGTGTGTGTGTGTGAGTGTGTGTGTGTGTGTGTGTGTGTATGTGTGTGTGTGTGTGTGTGTGTGTGACAATTAAATAGCCATAAAATAGATAAACATTTAAAATAATAAATAAATAAAAAGTAAGAATACTTAATTTATTATTATTTGTGTTTCATATTTATGTAATTATTTATAGATTTTTCTAAATTATTATTTATTGTGTTATTTTTTCATCAATTATTGTATTTAATGTTTTTGCTCTCAGCCCTGTTTCTGTCCCGAAGCCCCGCCCCTTTCCGGTCGGCGCGTCACTCTCCCCTGTTTGTTTTGTTCGTTGCTAATAAAGTTTCGGTGACGTAATGAATCCAACATGTCGGTGTGCGGCAGAATGAGGATGTCACCCTCAGCTCTTTGGGGATTTAAATGTATTTTCGCTGCTCGGTTTTCCTCCCGGAGGATCTTAGCGTGTCTGCCGGGGCTCCGCGGGAGAGGTGAGGGTCGAGAGGGGAGAAAACACCCGGTTTAAAGCTAATTTACACTGAAAACTGCACCTCGATCCAGTTATAACACACCTTGTGTAATGTGGTTCACTAACTCAAAGTGAACTGAACACTACAGTTACATATATTAATATATATATATATATATATATATACATATATATATTATATTACAGATAAATGACATTTCGTGCGAATTTATCAGTCATTTCCTAACCTTTGGGTTCACAGCAGGGGGTGCTCCCAGGGAGGCATAATACACCTGGTGTACCTATGGATGACACATTTATGAAATATTAATAATATTTGTATTTATTTATTTATTACGTGTTTTATTCATTTATTACAATGTATACCTAATATGTTTTGGGTTCATTTGTTTTGATTATTGTTTTTTATTTATTTACAGATTTGTTTTCAATTATTATTATTTGTGTTTTTGTATTAATGTAATTTTATTTCATTACTGTTATTATTTGTGTTTTTTATTGATAGACTTTTAGAATTATTATTTTTATTTATGTATTTATTTATAGATATTTTATTATTATTATTAGAAGGGTGAGGGCCGTGAGGGGGGAGACAGGGCCAGTGGGGGGACAGGGCCGTGAGGGGGGAGACAGGGCCAGTGGGGGGACAGGGCCATGAGGGGGGAGACAGGGCCAGTGGGGGGACGGGGCCGTGAGGGGGGAGACGGGGCCGTGAGGGGGGAGACGGGGCCAGTGGGAGGACAGGGCCGTGAGGGGGGAGATAGGGCCAGTGGGGGGACAGGGCCGTGAGGGGGGAGAAAGGGCCAGTGGGGGGACAAGGCTGTGAGGGGGAGACAGTGCCTTGCTCAGGGACACCTTGGTAGCACTATTTCAAGGATGCTATGTTCCAATGTCCAGGATGCTTGGAATTCTACCGAGGCCGGCGTCCTTCGTTGCGGGAGGCTGCACATGTGTAGACTCCGCAGTCTTAAAATCCCCACAATGCTTTGCGAACGGACCAATTTCCAAATCTTTGGCGTAAATCGCGCTCCATTTAAGGCGGGGCCTCGCATATGACGCACACCTGCACACCTGTTAGCCTGTGACTCGGAGGGACATGTCCTACCAAGGAAGCGTCCTCGACATTGAGAAACACCCCCTGTCTATCCGGGACTTGAACCGGTGACCTTCCAGTTGCCAAGCCAAGTCCCTATGGACTTTGCCACCACCGCCCTGAAGACCTTGAACAAGATACTTTCTGAAAATCTTGGAATTCTGCATTTTCTCAAGATTCTGATCTTTTTCAAAAAAATAGAAAAATACTGACTTTTGTCTAAAATGTCATAATTCTGACTTTTCAGATTTTTTCACAAAATCTCAACATTCAGATTTTCTTTGACAAAATTCTGTCTTTTTCATAAAATCTCAGATCTCAACTTTTTAGCTGAAACATAAAAACTCTGTATTTCTTGTCAAAATGTGGACTTTTGTCTGAAAATCCATTCCATAAGAAGGAAAGAGGTCTCTGCATTTGACCCGTCCTAGTGTTAGGAGCAGTGTAGGGAACGGCGCCCTGCTCAGGGACACCTCGGTAGCAATCTGTCTATCCGGGACTTGAACTGGTGACCTTCCGGTTGCCAAGCCGAACCTCTATGGGCTTTGCCACCACCTCTAATGTGTCTCAGTCTGTAGGGACTTGGTCTTGGAACCAAAGGGTCGCCGGTTAACGTCTCGACCCAAACTTTTTTATAGTAAGCTGGTATCTGGAGAGGTGCCAGTTCACCTCCTGGGCCACTGCCGTGCTGAGGTGCCCTTGAGCAAGGCACCTAACCTGAAACTGCTCCCTTGGTGCCAGATAACTGGCAGCCTCTCTGCTCTGTGTATATCCTCCCTGTGTGTGTAATGTGTTGTTAGGAAACTCTCCCTGGTCCCTGGCTTGAGCTTCAGCCTCAGGATCCATGTGTCTGTGATCCTCTCCAGAATGGAAGGAGTCATCACATACAGAGCATCAACTAGTTCCTGAACAGTGTCCTTCACATGCTGATATCCAAGAGAGGGAGTTACACAGTCACAAGATGGAGGAAGAGAAAGCAGTATTCAATGTTTACTTCAGATTAGCTCCACGTCAGAAATGAGCATGCTTGATGTCTCTCTCCATAGAGGCTGAATCATCATGTTAATCACATAGCTATCATCTGCCTCAAACAGTCCTGATGCTCTTCTAGGTCATCACACATCCTGTCATGTTTACAGCTACAGTTGATACCTTTGATAGCATGCTGCTCTCATGTTGGAGGAGGACCTTCAGGATGTTCCCAACAGAGTGGAGAAATACATTTCCTTGTGAGGGATTATTAAAGTATGTCTTCTTCTTCTGACCCCAGGTTACTCAGTGGAGGCTCAGCAGCAGCAGCAGGTGTTGGATGAGAGGCCTCGGGGCCCTCAGGATCTCTACAGCGGGCCCCTGGACCACTACACCTCCATTATCAGAGAGGGAGCCCTGAAGGAGGATGAGCACCAGAGAGCTGTGATGCTGACCCTGGATCAGCTGCACCAAACACTCAGAGGATACAGCAACACACACACATCCCTCTTCTCCAGGGTAAACAACAACAACACACACACACATCCCTCTGAGGCCTGTCCTACGAAGCCGGTTCAACCTAACCTGGATATGTTTGAGTTAGCCGGTTGGCCTAATCCAAAACATACGTGCTCTCGCTAAGCGGTCCTACGACGCGGGTTATCAAGTGGATCGCTCAAGCCAGCCGTGTCCTATCTAGTTAGGTGTTCACATGAGAGGGGTGGTATCTGGAGCATTCGACCAATCACAGACATGGAGAAGCGCACTGACAGCGCAGCGTCATACTTCCTGAATGAAAAGTGAACTATAATATTAGACATATGAAGAAGTTAAACTTGAAACATCCATGACTTAAACACTTGATCCAGGATCAAAGCCACAGAGCTGCACCTGCAAGGTGAATACAGCTGGGAACAGAACAAGTGTTTGAATGCGTACATTAACAGCTTTATGATATCACTGCCCGTCTAAGACACCATCTGACTTTCATTACATTTGACTCCAGTGTTTCCTCAACTTAATGTGTTGCTTCAAATAATGCTTCTGCATCCAGTCTGTGACGCTGTGAGTGTTGCACGGCCAGATACGGCTCAGCTGACTCAGATCAGGAGATGATACATTATGAAGTGATATGGACTGTACTTAATGTGACTCTGATCCGGTTACTTATGTTGTGGCAGATATTTCAGTAAGCTTTCTTAACGCTAATGTTATAATAGTCAGATTGCTCTGAAGATGGAGCTGATATTCTATTCATGTTCACGTTCACACAGTCGCTGATTTTTGCCGGCCGTCTTTCCTGCGACGGCAGCTTTTCTGTATTTCCTTTCTCCTGTAATATGACTTGATCGCTTTAAACTCACACACTGAGCTCTGATTGGTCAGCAGGAAGTGCTTTCACTGAGTTGAGCTCTTAGTCCTGCAACCTAACCTGCTCCGGAGCAGGTTAGCCGCTCAGCATCAGTTACCATGGAGATCTAGCCGCTAAGAAGAGAACCAGCTTCGTAGGACCGGAAACCCAGAGTTACCCTGAAGTTAGCCGCTAAGAGAACATCCGGCTTCGTAGTACAGGCCTCTGCTCCATGGTAAACAACAACACACACATCCCTCTGCTCACAGGTTTGTATTAAAGTCAGATGGTGTCTTAGACGGGGCAGTGATATCATAAAGCTGTTCATGTACGCATTCAAACACTTGTTCTGTTCCCAGCTGTGTTCACCTTGCAGGTGCAGCTCTGTGGCTTTGATCCTGGATCAAGTGTTTAAGTCATGGATGTTTAAACTTTAACTTCTTCATATGTCTAATATTATAGTTGACTGTTCATTCAGGAAGTATGAGTATGTTGTGATTGGTCAAATGTTGCTAGCCC